TTTCACATCCCTGGCCTCTTGCTTTCGGAAGTCTCATTTTGACATGGCAGCCGCGTGCTCACAAGGGTCACTCACACACTCGCTCTTGCTAATAACATTATTCACCTCGCTTGGGCTCGACCCGTGTCCAGAAGCTCAAGTACTCGTACTTCCCGTACTAGAAGGAAGTCATTATGCTTTACTGCTAGTGCGTACTACCAGTGTAGTTCGGAAATCATGCCAAGCTTACTTGATAATCTCGCTTCCTCTGAGAAGCTAGAGATTAATTATAACTCCGTGACAGAGAGCTTATGTTAAAAATCTAACAGTCATTCGACTACTCACGAAATTCCTCGTCATTTAGGGAACACGAAAGTTCGTTATTGCGCTCATAATAGCCCGCCATTGGTCCCTATACTGAGCCAGATAAATCGAGTCCTTGTCCTCCCATTCTCTTCCGTCGATATTTTACAAGCTTTGAAAGTGATTTCTTGTTCTAAAGCCGACCCATATTCCCTGTATATTTTTTTTTTGCGTCTTTTTATTTAAAAAAATATCATGTATATACAAAAAAAAAAGGTCTAGGCAAAGCCCACCTGGCCCCCTGTAGCACATTCTTATAAACATCTTGTATCATAACGGTCACCCCGGCATTTTTGAACGTCTCTATAAACTTAATTCTAAGAATACATTATTAATATTTTCCTTTTTTAATAAATTTAGGAAGTTTATTTATGAAGTAACAGATGCCTTGCACAATTATTCCCCCTTTAGCCTTAAGAACTCTGTAACTTACTTTGGGTATTCTTTTTCTCTGTTCTCAGACAAATGCCCATCACTCTTGCTCGTTGGTCCTCGTACAGTTTACAGCCCCAGAAGATATGTTCCTCCGTTTGCAGCCCATCACCACCTTCGCATTCGGCCGTGGGCACAAAGTTAAATCTGTTTAGGCTTGCTTTAAGACTGGTGTGGCCTGCTCTCATACGGTTTATTGACTCGAAGGCACGACGGTTCATTTTTATCTCGTGGAATCACGGAGACGAGCCACTCCTGTAGTACTCTTCAGAGTAGCCTTCTCTTCTGTCCGTTTGGTGTTTTGACAGACACTGTGCGTGCCATTGCAGAAACTACTGTAGCCATCGCATTTAACCTCCTCTCCGTTTACGTGTGTTACTAACGTTGGATCTGACATCCACACAGTGTGACTATGAATAGTACCGTCAGCTGAGATAAGACGCTGTGTAGTCCGGTAGTTCACCGACGTTTCGGAGGGATGTACAAATTCCATTTTTAGGATAAGAGAGTAAGTCAAATAAGGAACAGTAGGAAGCAAGCCACAAATAGAAACTTGGCATGAATTTTGTACCTATATCTCAAGAGGAAGTCCAGGGAACAAAGCAGCTTGCCTTCTTTATTCGCATTTTTTCGAATCTGTGGACGAAGCTAACAGCGGCCTTCCGTAAGGGACAAATTCTTGTTGCTTCTTCCCTGACTTACTCTTCGACGTTTAAGGTGGAGGCGGTGAGTCGATGAACTGATACCGGCCTACACGGTGTCACATCCCCGAACACAATTATATATATCGTTTTCTTCTTCTATTCCAGTTGATCCCACTTGGAGCAAAGGGCAGCCTTGAAAAACTTCCTTTCACATTATTTTATTAGTCTAAGACAGTCGGTAGGACACCTTGAACGGGGGATCAGCCCGACGCAAAGCCGCTACCTAACACAAAGACAGAATAAACACAGACATCCATACCGTGAATGGGATTCGAACCCACGAACCAGGTGTCCGAGCGAGCGAAAATATTTCATGCCTTAGACTGCGCGGCTACTGGGCTTGGCTTATATATATATATATATACATTAAATTTCGTTTATTCTTTTTAAGTCCTAATGGCCTCGTAAACTTTCAGAACAACTGTTTCAGCATTTAGTCGACTCCAACACCTGCTTTCCACACAGCAGATCCCAGTCTGTGACGACAGTATCTCTTGACCCTCTAGACCGCTAAGGAAGTTGTTAGGCTAATAACCTCACAATACATGCGAGTATTCCACATTCCGTATTCAAAACGGCTAGTAAGTCCCGTCGCGCACGCGCAGACGACGGAAGCTGTTTTTGAGCTGACAGATGCATGGGTTGCTACCATAAACGGCACCGTTCCCCACATACTGCGCGCCAGACATACGGTTATTCGCTGGCTGACATTTTTTATGTGCCAGAATAAGATATCTAATAATGTTACGTTAACGGTGCTGACGTGTCTCGTTCGGAGATGTTGGTAACACTTCATTTAGACCGCTGGTGCCGGAACTCTTGCATTTCTTGCCATGCTGCTCTGCAGAACAGCTTCACTATCTGATACCATAAAGTTCCCCCTGTGCTTAACTAATTAAGTACTACCTCATGAAGGCGTATAGGAGAGTTATATTTCCTTATATTTTCTTGACCTTGGCACTAGCTGGAGGTGAGTGGTCAGCTACACGCCCCTGCCGCTTTAACCCCGGGGGAAAGAATCCCCAGTACCCATTGGGTAGGAGGTTGGGTGAACCCCAGAACTGGTCTGGAAGGCGTGGAGAAAAGTCTTGACCCTACCGGGACTCGAATTCCGACTGCTAGGTCGTCCACCCCGTAGCTAGTTGCTATGCTGACTGAACTATCCCGGCTCCCCGTTATGATACCATTCAAACTATAAAAGATATAAGAAGCGGGAAATATGACCCACTCTGAATTGTTTAACGACGCTCTTTCTGTAGCTAGACCGGTGGATGCTGATACTAAAGAAGGTGTCATAACGTAATTGAGGCACTGATCCGGAATTTGCTTGGAGGGATTGAGGAAAACAATCAAAGACTTCAGGAAAGCCATTTTTTTCCGGCCGATGATAGAACCGAGCACCTCCCGAACACAACCGTGTGATTAAAAATACGATATATCATAGTTTGCGCATCTCGACTAATAATATGAATAACAGTAACATAATAATAATAATAAATACTAACCCAACAGAAACAAGATCTAAAAAAAATGATATTTATGTAAGAGATTGAGAGACTCCATGTTAGGTGGGTCTCTTGTTACCACGGCATGGCGCGTCCTGAGGTTGCGGATGGAGGAGACGCCCTCCAGTTTTGGAGGGAAGCTGCGAGTGTTATGAATAAGCAGTCGCGGACAGCTAACAACTCCTCACCGTAAAAAATAACTTTGTTACGAAAATGTACACAAAGCCTCGGACCTGGACGGGTTCCTTGGATAAACGACCTAAGCTAATGAAAATGGATATGAGATTTGGCACTTGGAAAGTTCGAAGTTTGTATAGGGCAGGTTCGCTCAGGGCAGTGGCAGAAGAAATCTTAAAATACAAGTTAGATTTAGCGGGAGTTCAGGAGGTCAGATGGGATGGAGGCATCGCTCCAGCTGGAGACTATACATTTTTCTATGGAAAGGGGAATGAAAATCATGAATTGGGTACAGGCTTTTTCGTACATAAGAGAATCGTATCAGCAGTTAAGAGGGTAGAATTCGTTAGTGATAGGATGTCATACAATACTAAAAGCTCGCTGGTTAGATATCATCGTTCACCATCTTCAAGTATAATTATAATGATCAAGACAAGGAGGATGAGGTGGGCAGGGCATGTAGCACGAATGGGGGAGACGAGGAATGCGTATAGGATATTGGTGGGAAAGCCAGAAGGAAAAAGACCACTGGGAAGACCAAGGCGTGGGTGGGTGAACAATATTAAAATGGATCTTAGAGAGATAGGATGGGATGGTATGGATTGGATTGATCTTGCCCAGGATAGGGCCCAGTGGAGGGCTCTTGTGAACAAGGTAATGAACCTTCGGGGTTCCATAAAATGCTGGGAAATTCTTGAGTGGTTGCAGAATTAGCTGCTCTCCCAGAAGGGCTCAGCTCCATGAGTGAGTAAGTAAGTATGTAAGTAAGTAAGTAAGTAAGTAAGGCTGAGAAACTTATGAAAACTGAGAAGATTCTGCCCGATAACTTTATTTTTATTTTCCGAGATAGTGGTGAGAGACAGGCATTACTCGCTGCCAGTAGCAGAACACCTCAGATCGGCTCACGGAAAGCTAGTGTCAGGCCAGGGCACACACGGTTTGGGAACCGCTACTTTAGAACGGGGATTCCCAAAGCGGAAAACTTGGCCCTCCATTGGAGCCGTGCATCTTTCTACTGGGGGCAGCTTTAGGTGCCGATATTTTGAATATAATATGTATACGTGAAGTGATAATGAAATGCCACATAAAAATACGAACTTAAAGCATAATTGAAGAATTATTCTACACGTAAAATTAAAATGCATCAGTCATTTATTTAAAGTTCTAACTAATTTCTTTTTATAGGTTCGGGAGTCTATGAAGTTTTCAATTACCTCAAGGGAACCTCAGATTATATGTCCCACCTGGGCCTTTTCGGGAGGAGGGGGACCAGCTATTCCTTCAAGACTGGGAGCAACCAGAAAACTGCATAAATATTTATGGCCAAACTGAATGAAGCTCTTCTTACTGATCGCTCTACAGCATTCAGGGCAAAAAAAAAAAAAAATAGTTTTTGATATTTATACACGGTGAACTTCTTGAATATGTAGGAGACATGTTATTTCGGACTTTCCTTTGACTTTCACCGGAGTTATGCCCCAGAAGATAGAATTGCTTCAGTACATTTTCTTCTCTTTAAAATTTATTTTCCTACAAATCCAGGGGCAGCAGTATGTATGTATGAATTTTCTTCCAAATGAATAAGCCCTAAACTTTGTCTCGCTGGTATCTCCTTGGCACGGACCACCGTAGAAAACCCTGTTTTAAACAGTACCTCTATTGCTTCATGCGTTTACCGAGGCTTTCTCTAGAAACGAATGTTGTTTCAGAGGCATTCGCTAGCAAACGGGTGTTCCTCTGGCTCCACAGTTCGTGCTTTGAGCAAATATGCCACAGTATATATGTGTATATGTATATAAGGATGTTAGAGAGGGATGAAAAGATTATATTATATACTTACGGCTGAGACAGGTATGTCTCCGAAATTGTAGGTATCCTGACTCACAGCGGCATGACCCATGGAGACACATGCTGTTTGCCACCTTCATGGAACACTGTTCTTTCACCAGACAGTCAAACCCAAGCAATGTAGCTGTAATCATATTCACAACATTAAAAAAGATTCCGAGTCGCGAATCATTGGAAATGTTAAAAATTATTTCCTCGCGCCTCATAGAAAAATTAATCTGCTTGAATGTATTAAAATATAAAGTTACCATCTACAATTATGATAGCATTTTCGTTACTAAATCACTAGCCGAAGCGTTTCGGACTGTTCCCGATGGCATGTCCTACACATAGCACGTGCTTTACCGGATTTCACACAACGCCACCACACAGACAAGATATTCTGCCTAACCAACATTATCAAAATACGGCCGTCGTTATATCACGTACTTGCACAACAAGAATTTTAATTCATTTCAACTTATATTAACTAATTATTTTTAACGATCATAACTTATTTTAATTGTTGTAATATTTTAGCAGTGATTAATACTGCATGCATAAATCCCCTTATGACAATCTATACTCAGGTACATATGTACATTATTTCCTTATAGTGTTACGTGTAGGGCTTACTATAGACGGAGTTCGGATTGGACACTTGATTTATTGACCATTTACACAATCATGACTCGTGACTGCACTTTATAGATCACTGGCACAGATAGGCTAGGGTGCTCAGCCTCCTACAATCTCCACTAGCCGTTTCACAGCAAGGGATTTTAACACAGGAACTATAACAGTCACACTGATTTACACACTCCAAATATCACGTATAAAGTCTTTGCTTCACAGTACTCTTGCTAATAACTATTTTCATCAAAGCCTCCCATACAGAACTCAACTCAGACTTCTCTGTCCCTAAGCTTCCGCCGGTGGGCGACTCGACGACTGCACCAACCAATGCACAGTTTTGCTAGCAGAAGGAGAGATATCACCAGTAAAAGGATCCGTAATACAGTCACGAATGTGATCATTAGTTTTCGATAACAGATAACTCTCGCTCGAGAATAACCAAGTTTCTCCTTACATGAACATTTGTGGTAATGTCTGAGCAGAGGGTCAGCATCTAATGATGCCAAGCAGTACCAACAGAAGGTATGCTTCATCGAAGCACAGCCCTCGTACTTCTCAATAGGAATATTGCCCTTAGGACAACGCTTGATGAGATCGGAGCCTGGTTGCATGAGATGTTGTTCAGGTGTCTTGTGTTCTGCTCACAGGATAATCCTGAGTGCCAAGGTTTCTTGCATTTTGAGCAATAGTCTGATGAACAAGTTTAGCAGTGGACACTGTGTGGAAGACAAGGCTCTACAGGTCCAGAAACATTGCGCAATGTTCCGCAACCTGCACGGGAACACCACATTCTCTTAACATCATGGTCAACTTCTCTATTTAGGCGAAATATTCTATTTCTAAATAGAGAAGTTGACCTTGATGTTAAGAGAACACAGTCTTTTTGAATACCGGACGATGGACAAAGTCCAAAAACCCAGAAATTCTGAATCTTAAAGAAATCGCACGTGCAGGTGTGAAAGTCTGGTGGTTAGTGTATGTACATACCATCTGCTTAAACACACTAAATTCAGACATATAATATATAAGAAGTTTAAACTTGGCGACGGTCAAGCTTACGACCGTTCAAGTGACTAAACTGCCGTTGTAGCATCAGATACGTAAGATAGACATGGTCTGCTTTGCGAAGCCTGTACTGGCAGATGACTTGTACACGTATGTACGAGTATATAGAGCACGAGGGAGAATTTTAAATAATATGCTATATGTGCGATGCATACACTTGACACAGGTGAAGCCTATTCATAAGAGAGAAACATATCCTCTCGTCAGAGCGGATGTTACATAAGGGCTATGGCAGCAATGGTTGCGTTAAAAAAATCTCTGCTCCTGAGCCACAAGGTGCTTGGTCCCAAGACAAAATAACTGGCAGTAAACCGTCAGTCATAAAGTAACTCTGACTCTGACATGACGCTGCGGCACCATATTCATACTCGAAAAGTAAATGAAGTAAGCAACCAACCAGCAAAAAGCGGACATCAATCAGAGCTCACTCTTCGACCTGGAAGATGGAAGTTATACGTTCCTCCGAAACATATACAGGACTAAATAACATCATATCCCAGAAGGTGGCCTTCTTCATAGTCACCTCTGTGAGAAGCTCACATGTAACATATTAGAAAGCTCGACAACCGTGGAATCTGATTTAGGTTTCCAGCAGGGGCAAGATACTTCTCTGTTCTCCACAGCTTTAAAACTGTCCATGGGTCCATCCAGGCTCCTATACAGTGAGTATTTAGAATTCCTTTCCGTGGAGGACGAAACACCCGGGACGTGAATATGGCCTCTGACCTCCCTCTTATGCAGATGTCCAAAATGCTGTACCTCCATTCCCATACTTATCTTCATGGCGTGGTACTTAATCAAGCACAGGGATAACTTTACCTTTAACTTTACTGCCGACTGTAACTTAAGCAATTTGATGTGAGAGGGCAGTGTACTTCCGTGACATGTCAGCCATTTACCTCGTCACGGAATAATTAGTTGAACGTTAAAATGTCTTTCTACAGCTGAAATAGTACGATCGTGTTCGTGGATTTTGTTTAAGTCTTACTAATAGGACCTCTAGACCTGGTCATTAAACGCGAATCCTGTTAAGTTTTAACGACAATTTGCTTGTCTGTGACAGAGGCAATTCTTTCACGCGTCCAAACAAAAATACATGAAACGAGTTTTATATTCCGGAAATACTGCTTGACATCGAGTCACGCTGAATTTTAAGTGAGGTGAATATGCTGAGGTTCACTGTTCGTGTCTAAGTATCCCTGAGCCTTATGTTATACAATTTCCTTCTGTGTACAAAGAAAAGTTTTATATTCTTGATATTTATCATTGTCATTTCGCAATTTCGGGTTATAGCAGTTACGATCTACAAAGCCTTAACACGTATCAGAACATAAGTTACATAGTAGGTCACGAAGGAGCGAGCAGTCTTTCTTTACTTTCCGCTAATGGCCTTTGAGTTCATAAAATGTTGGATGATTCTTGAGTAGCTGAGCGACTGTTAGCTTGCAAGATTAGAGGTTCTCACTGCCGCGCATGTTACGAGTACAGTCTTCTGGGATGTGATCCATATAATTTGGCATATGTACAAATATTTCGAAGGAAACTCCTGCCTCCATTTTCAGGGTTGAAGTGTCTTCTTTCCAGATGATGCAAGCCTCACGTTGCTCCGAAAAGATGCTACCAGTCTATGAGAATATACGGCATCATATCTCAATGAGCAAGTTAGTTGAATCGGTAACGCTTCTGAATTGCATTCGGGAGGTGTCCGATTCGGATCTTGGGCGGGGCACCGTCTATGCTGCCTGATGTGTCTCGTAGTTTTCATCAGTACCACCAGCCAAATGCTGGGCTAGCACAATAAATTAGCTCAGGACCCTTTCCTTCCTCATCCTTTTCAACTGGTCATTCCAAGCTATGTAAATAGGGTTACTGATGACGTGTTTAAATAAAAAGGTAAAGGTATCCTCTGTAACTGTCCGTGGAAGCCCATAGGGTTGCGAGACGTCGAGGTTCCCACATTTTCTAGACAGCTGTCTCACAGATGGCTGTGAAGTTGTCAGTCTTACGCGCCGGTCTGCCTTTACCTCCATGAAGATTCCTGGTACTCATTTCTGTTAGAGGCTGAGTAGACCCCATGGCCAAAGTGGGGCTGGAAACATTAGGTTAATCGAAAAATCCAAGAAACTCGTCGGGAATCGAACCCGTGATCCTTCGGTTTGTAGCATAGTGCCTCGAACGACTATGCTACCGAATGCCTCAGCGTCTTTAAATACACTAAAATTAAATGTAAATGGCATGTCAGATTACTGAAGTCTGGGCATTAGCTTTCAAGAGGAATTCACCGGACGCCCTGGCATAATGGTGACGGTCTAGACTCATATTTTGAAGGCGATCGATTCGAATCTCGAAATGGACATCGGCTATCCAAAGGTTTTTTTGTGGTTTTTCTCAGTTCCTATAGGAAATACTGGGATAATTTCTCGATTAGGCTACTACGTTTTCCTTCCAAATCCTTTATAATTCGTCAATCATGCTATCACTCAACTGTATGTATCTACATCCTAACAGCGTCGCGAAATATCCTGCAGGCTAAATGAAGGAATTTGTTCGATGGAAGAACTGTTTTTCTTCTTCTGCGCATGCTCCAGGTCTCTTTTACAATTGTTCGCATTTGGTCCTGATCCTGTAACTTTCGTCTCCAGTTTCTAAAGCCCACTGTCTTCAAATGCAGTCACCTGACAGCACGTCCTCCTACTGGACGAGTACCCTCTGATTTATGTAGAGTTAACTTCCGGCAAGGGTTCTTCTTCTGCAGCCATCTCAACCGCCCTAATATCTGGTTCATTATATACACGTAATTTATAAAGTTTATGTCTATACTTTCACCTCCATATACCATTTTCCTTAATTGGGCCGTATATTCTCCTTCAGAGACTCTGAGCATACATTCATCTTTCTTTTTAGGGACTAACTTTCACTTCCATGGGTAAGTATAGGACTTACAAGGGTCTTATATAGACCACATTTTTCTGTCTTCTTAAATAATGTGACATGTTGATCCATTACTAGGGAATGACTCCGTTAACACATTCCCGCGGCAACAAATTCGCAGGCAACACTCAGGTAAAAATTATTTTTTTAAATTCGCATAGTGGGGGGTGGAGTCCAACTGGGTCCACTCGGCACGGCGGCCAGTGATTGGCCTATTGTACCTGCCCAGTGTGATTATGTTGACGGAGAATTTGGTGGAATGAAGATTGGCAGGGGAAACCGAAGTACTCGAAGAAAACCTGCCCCAGCGCCACTTTGTCCACCACAAATCCCACTTGACCAGAATCAGGTTTGAACCTGGGCCGCCGTGGTGGGAAGCCAGCCACTAACCGCTTGAGCTATGGCGCGGACAGCAATCGGGTAACTTCCAATTTATGCAACGGCGCTGTAAATACAACAATAGAGCAACCGGTGTCAAGAGGTGTATTCTATGTGGTTCGCATACATCCACTGCTGGAAACGGATGTGTTTTCTGTGCTGTGGTCCGACCCGAGACTATATAAGGAGACGCCAACAGTGTTAGTGTTTTTGAATAGTTTTGTGATTTTTCGTATGTAATTTCCTGTATAAGTAGAAGTGACCCATTTTGTTCTTTTTCGTCTTTATTATCCGGGTTACCCATCTTCGCTTAAGTTTGTTATATAGATGTGTGATGTCTTCCTTTCTATAGCCATTATTTAGTGTTATATTAATAATAGTATTTAATTCTTTGTTTCTAGCATTTTCCTCAAGGGGTAGTGTAAGAAGTCTGTGTATCCAATTTCTATATGCTGGCAATTTTTGTTCTTTAGGGTGATATGATTTATTATTTATTGTTATGTGTGTCGTTGTGGGTTTTCTGTATA